TTCTTTCTTTCTTTCTTTCTTTCTTTCTTTCTTTCTCTTTCTCTCTTTATCAGCCTAGATGAGTCCAAATATGGTTGTTCAGTGGTTACTGTTTTATAAATTTTCATATCATGATATTAAATAAGATAAAAGGAACTTACCAGTAATTTTTTTCTGGTCAGTTTTTATTTTGTTAGCAATATTGTAAACTTCACAGCAAAGCATAGATAACAGACATTAATACTGTGTGTGTGTGTGTGTGTGTGTGTGTGTATGGAATTAAATATGATTCTCACATTTGCTAGCTAATTGGAAGACAAGGGACTATACCTGAGCATCAGTTTTCCTTTCTATAAACATAGATATAATAATACTTATAAAAAGATTGATATGCCTATGAAATATGCAAAATCTGAAAATCATGGACATTAGAAAAAAATTAATCGGTACCCTTATTAGTATTCAAAAAATGAGAATAATTCAAGGGGGAAATGATGGTTTCAAGAAGGTGGCATAGCAGGTAAGAACCATATTAGGGAGTAAATAGTCTCCTTCCAAACGATACGATGTTTAATTCAAACGACTTGAAGCTGCAGTAATCTGAAAGAGCTCTGTGGAGATAGAATTATTTTTGAAACAAGCACAGCTTGAAGAAGGAAATCAGCTAGGAAATGGAGCTGAATGTCCCTCCCGCTTCCCCATGGTGATGTCATTAACTTCCCTTCCTCTGTTCGTTTCCTTGCAGATTCCAACCTTACATCCATTGCACCAAGCACCTCGAGCTCTGCAGCAGACACTGTCACTCCAACCCCAGCCATAGGTGACAACTTACCCCCAGTCATGCAAGCATCAGGGCCGGGAGGGGCCGACGGCCAGGCTCTTCCCCCTGCTCTCCATCGGGTTGCTTTCCTGGAAACATTGCATTCATTGTTCTCCATCGTGCTGAGAAATGGAATTTAGAGCCTCATCTGCTTTGTGCTACAGCCCTTGAGACCAGGATACGTGGCTACACTTCCCGCCATGTTCCTGCGGTTACATCTTTCAAGATCTCTGTGTTTTATGAGAAAACATATAGGAGACACAGACAAGGCTATTAGAACTACTTCTTAAGAGCAGGTTTTGTATTAGTGTAGAAAAGAGTCATTTCTTTTAAAGGATTTTCTTTGCAAAGGAGAAGTAGTAAAAGACGGAATGTAGTTTCAGTCAGGCGTCCAGAGGCCAGCGGGTCAGTGCCGGGGGCCTCTGGGAAAGGCCACGCTGGCTCAAGCTCTGGGTCAGCAAAGCAGAACCTGTAAGCTCAGCATTCTCCCCAAGCTCTTCGGCACTGTGATTGCTACAGATCAGATCCCTTCTCTCCCACAGATTCATTTCTTCCCGTTTCTTCTGTTGTTGGGCCTGGGGCCTTGAACCCAGAGTTGGGCACTATCCTTGAGCTCTTTTTGCTCAATGCTAGCACCTATCACTTTGAACCACAGCTCCACTTCTGGTTTTCTGGTGGTTCATTGGAGATAAGAGTCTAGTGGACTTTCCTGTCCTAGCTGGCTTCAACCCACCATCTTCAGATCTCAGCCTCCTGAGTAGCTAGGATGACAGGTGTGAGCCACTGGTGCCCACCTCTTTCCAGTTCTTTAGTTCAATGCATAGATATTTACATATGACACTAGTCACTTTTTTTTGAGAAAGTAATTTATTACCCTAGATCTAATGTATGTACAAAGAGCTAACAAACATTATTAAACTAGAGAGCAAAACACGCTCGGGCCTATTATCTCATTTCAAAGAAAAATTGACTTCACTCGGAAGGAGGATCATATGTAAATCTAGTTGGAGATTAAGGAAGATAATGAGGACCCTTCAACTATCCATTCAGCCCATAAGATCACAGAGATAGCAAAACATCTTAATGCTGTTATCAGAGCTGTATTGGTGGGAGCCTATTGATGAACGTGTTTTGGAGAACTAGCTAATTAGTTGATAACATTTGTAGTTCTGAGGTCAGAACATGACGCAAGGCAAAACTGCATTATGTGTTAAACCTAACTAGACAGACTTTACAGTTTATGATGTTGAACTTTGCCAACTTACCTTTCCCCAGAATGATGGTAGCAGACATAGTCCAAAACAAAATTATAATATTCCACTATTTTTTCTCTTCCAGCCACTACTGCAGTGAGGCCACCATGTGGTAAGTTTATTTACTGAGAGGCAGCATGAATCATTTTGGAATGGCATTGTAATTATTTCTGTCTTTATTCCATGAATTCAAGCAAAACTCTCCAGCTCTAGTTTCCAATGACTTCCGCTCAATCTTAGGAACCAACTAACTGTGAATTGCATCGGCTTTCATATTCAGACTTGAGTTTTGAATACTAAAATTAAACATGATTACCTAGACAGTGTAGGTAAAGTCACTTAATTTGCAGTTTAGGTGTTTGGGAGATATAATATCAAGTGTTTATGAAGCGAGAGCGAGAGGCGTTGGGTTCACAAATGTGAAACATGGATTACATGTTCAGTGTCTATGAAGTGTCTCCAGGCCTTCCCAGGGCCTGGCTCCTCACAGACACTTGGAAACAGTTGTTCACGCCTCACCTCCCTCTGTTCTCATCCGCAGAAAAGTCTTCCTTCACGGTCCTTTACTTCTTCCTTATTTTCCTATTTCCTCCTAAGCCTCCCTACTCACATCACTGCTTTCCCGGGCAAGCAATGTGCTGATCAGCCAGCCCCTGTTCTACTTGGTTTATGTTCAGCTTCCTTCCCAGCCTTCCTCTTGCATCTGCTTCCACTCAAGCACTATGGGCCAGCCTACAGTGTTCTGAACACAGGCTTTTCCTCTGGCCTCTGTGATGACACCAGTTTGTCTTCTTCTGGGCTTACAGTGGAGCCACAACTCTCTTCTGTGGGCTGATGTCTCACATGCTGCTCATATTTTAAAACACAATTTGTGTGATCTTCTCTGGAAATCCTTTCCCTCCAATCTCACTGGATAATCCTCTCCCCTTTCTTTTTCTTTCCCCCTAACACTCACATAACTTTGTACATCATGTTATCATACTGAGTCCTTTGCTCATCTTCTACAACTTGGTCACTCAGTCTGTGTTCATCTTCATGCTAAGCCATATCTTTCTTCTTTCTTTTTTTTTTGTCTTGTTTTTTTTAATTTAATTTTATTTTATTTGTGTCTTTCTTCTTTCTTTCTTTCTTTCCTTCCTTCTTTCTTTCTTTCTTTCTTTCTTTCTTTCTTTCTTTCTTTCTTTCTTTCTTTCTTTCTTTCTTTCTTTCTTTCTTTC